TGAAGGGTCCTTGTTGGTTAGTTCTCAGCCTTTGACTCTTTTCAACCCAAACCATCTCTCCATTTGGAACTCCATATTTTCTAGAATAGCAGTTCCTAATTGTATGGCCTCTTTTACAGCAATAAAAACAAGTTGTTTGTCTAGAAAAGTTGCTTTTAAATTTTCTAAAATTTTGGTTTTTCACAAAAGCTTCTTTCTTTGACTTAAATGGCATGCTCATTGTTCCTTGAAACCTTGTTGGATGATCTGCATGATTATAAAATAGGAAAAAAAAGTAAATGTGTCAATACAAAAATTTTAATGAATTTATTAAAATAAATAAATAAATATAAAATTTAAATAGATAATTTATCCTAATTTTATGTCAAATAAAAGAAATAAACAATTATGAATATATTTTAAATTCATGATGACTAACCATGAATTATGTGATCAATATTTCTGATACTCGGTCCTGCTTCATTGTCATTTGTTCCTTGAAACCCTGTTTAAGAAAATTTAAATTGTAAATGTTTAGTAAAAAATAATAATAACTTAACCAAAAAGAAAAAATATTTTTGAAAAAATATATTAAAAAAACTATACACAACTAACCATGACCAATGTGACCAATATTTGAAAAATTTGCATTTGTTTGGATGTTACCTATTCTTTGAAACGTAGTAGACCGAGCTAATTGTCGTACATATGTCAGTCTTCTTCTGCTGTGTGAATTTGCAATTGTGGAATGTGAATTAGTTGGATGAGTTGTTGAAGATGATGTTTGTACTTCATTTTGTTGTTGTCTCCTTTGTTGCTAATTTATACGTCGCCTAGACAATTGTTGTTGTCTTTGATCCATGGTCATTCGATTTCTTCTATTTCTATAGTTTTGTCTCCATCTTTCTCGTTGTTGTTCTTGTTGTTGACCATTTGAATTTGGCATATTGTTATATAGATATCTGTCAAATAGCATTTGTGGACAATAGACAAAGTATTAATTTGTGAAATAGACAAAGTATAATATCTAAATGAATTGATTTTTAAGATAAACTATTATATAGATATTTAATTAATGTAATTTTAAAATATATATGTATAATTAGATATATCTTAAATAAATATTTTTATATTAAAAATTAATTTATCATTAAACAAAATAAAAATATTTCAAAATATGGTTGTTGTTGAATCAGTTTTCCATGGTGGAATCATATTCATATATAATAATAGAATCATGCCTCCTCAAATAAGCGATATCTACCCCAAAGTAGTATGAGCATAATCGAAGATAGATGGTATAACGTATTTTAAGTAATTGATCTCATGTGTTGTATATATTTATATATATAATTTATTTTAAATTTTTATTTATTAAACTAATGAAACATTAATTATATTTTATCAATTTTAGATTTGTTTGATAAATTTTTATTAATCCTTATATAAGCCAATTATTTTTAATTTAATG